CACTCCTCGCCTCCTGCGGTTGGTCAAACACCCGGCTACTACTCATCTACAGGACTACATACTATTTCCCTCTGTGTATTGTCACTCCTTTGATCACTGTATATAATAAATCATTGCTTGCACCGAAGTCGGCTACCTGGGTCTGCCTCTTTCCTCGTTCGCACACTGACTGGTGCGAACGGCACCTAACAGGGATATTTTTAAGCACTGGAAAACACTGGATCTGGCTAGGACCATCAATATAAGATCATATTGTGAAACTTGGAATTTACACCACTTGTAGTAAAATAGTTATTACTGTTGTGTTTGTTGTAGTCTACGAGGCCAGTGTATATCTGTGCCACTGTTGGTACTACCTGGAACTTGTATTTAGGAACATCTCCTACAAACAAAATTTTGAAACACAAGCAGAACCTGTGACAATGACTACATGTTATATTTGATCAAGTTCCTGTAGTCCCTGTAGCTACACAGTGAGACTTGCATGTATGCACACTTAAAGGAAAAGGGTTTAAAATGCTACTAAGCTCAGATCATATCTGAGACTGTTTCTGTTGGGGAGACAGAAGAACTACAAGGTGAAGACAGGAAGATGGGGAAATAAAATGTAATACTAACCTCTGGCGTCAAAGAACTCCTCATCAGAGCTGTCTGCTGATTCTTGTGCAATGTTTTGCAGACACCAACGTGAGGCACTGTACTTTCGTGAAGAACCTGCAGAACAGAAAAAGAAAATAAGACAGAAAATCCACTTTTAGAATTGAAGCATGACAGGCAGGGTTGTGGCATTAATCACAGAACTCAAGGACAGAAAGATCAAGCATATTTCTTATTTTTTCCCCTCCTTTTTTGTTGATAGTGATAAAAATTCAGAGTGAAAAGTATGAATGCCCCAGGTGGGGATATGGTCATCTGAGTGTCACAGCATGTGAAAAGACCCAAATGGGCTTTCTTCTGAGCTGCATCATACCACACAAGGACAGCAAGGCAGCAGTCATTTTCATAACCTGCTGATACAAGAGCAGGGAAGGAAGGAGATTTAAAGAGTTTTCCATTTGTTGAAAATATTCACTCTCAAGTACCCTGATATAAAATCAATGCAAACAATTGATTATGGAAAAGATTTCTTTATAGTCTTTGATGGTCTTGTTCTGGCTTCATATACACTACTCCCTGTCTTTATTATTTATTTGTTACTAGATAGATACAGTGCTTTGCAAAAGTATTCATATCCCTTGAACTTTTCCAAATTTTGTCACGTTACAACCACAAACTTAAATGTATTTCACTGGTATTTTATGTGATACACCAACACAAAGTATCACATAATTGTGAAGTGGAAGGAAAATGATAAAAGCGGCATTCAAGATTTTTTACAGATAAATTTGAAAAGTGGGGTGTGCATATGCATTCAGCCCCCCGAGTCAATACTTTGTCAAACAAGCTTTCGCTGCAATTACAGCTACAAGTCTTTTGGGGTATGTCTCTGCCAGCTTTGCACATCTAGAGACTGCAATTTTTGCCCATTCTTTGCGAAATAACTCCAGTTCAGTCAGATTGGATGGAGAGCATCTGTGAACAGCAATTTTCAAGTCTTGCCACAGATTCTCAATAGGATTTAGGTCTGGACTTTGACTGGGCCATTCTAACACATGAATATGCTTTGATCTAAACCGTTCCATTGTAACTCTGGCTGTATGTTTAGGGTCGTTGTCCTGCTGGAAGGTGAACCTCTGCTCCAGTCCCAAGTCTTTTGCAGCATCTAACAGGTTTTCTTGCCCTGCATTTAGCTCCATCCAACTTTTCATCAACTCTGACCAGCTTCCCTGTCCCTGCTGAAAAAAAGTATCCCCACAGCATGACGCTGCCACCACCATGTTTCACGGTGGGGATGGTGTGTTCAGGTTGATGTGCAGTGTTAGGTTTCCGCCACACATAATGTTTTGCATGTAGACCAAAAAGTTCAAGTTTGGTCTCATCTGACCAGAGCACCTTCTTCCACATTTTTGCTGAGTCCCCTACATGGCTTGTGGCAAACTGCAAACGGGACTTCTTATTGCTTTCTTTCAACAATGGCTTTCTTCTTGCCACTGTTCCATAAAAGCTATATTTGTGGAGTACACAACTAATAGTTGTCCTGTGGACAGATTGTCCCACCTGAGCTGTGGTTCTCAGCAGCTCCTCCAGAGTTACCATGGGCATCTTGGTTGCTTCTCTGATTAATGCTCTCCTTGTCTGGCCCATTTAGGTGGACGGCCATGTCTTGGTAGGTTTGCAGTTGTGCCATACGCTTTCCATTTTCAGATGATGGACTGAACACTGCTCTTTGAGATGTTCAAAGCTTGGGATATGTTTTTATAATCTAATCCTGCTTTAAACTTCTCCACAACTTTATCCCTGATTTGACTGGTGTGTTCCTTAGTCTTCATGATGCCATTTGTTCACTAATGTTCCCTAACAAACCTCTGAGGCCATCACAGAACAGTTGTATTTATACTGAGAGTGAATTATACACAGGTGGACTCTATTTACTAATTAGGTGACTTCTGAAGGCAGTTGGTTGCACTAGATTTTATTTAGGGCTATGAGAGTAAAGGGGGCTGAATACATATGAACGCCACACTTTTCAAAGTTTTAATTGCAAAAAAAACCTTCAACACCACGTATCATTTTCCTTCCACTTCACAATTATGTGATACTTTTTGTTGGTCTATCACATAATTTCCCAATAATATACATTTAAGTTTGTGGTTGTAACATGGTAAAATGTGGAAAAGTTCAAGGGGCAAGACAGACAGACAGACAGACAGACACACAGACACACAGACAGACAGACAGATAGATAGATAGATAGATAGATAGATAATGTTTAATAGCAAAATAAAAAAAAAGACTTCTTAAAAGTTAGAAAATGGTTGCAACACACAAGAGCAATTCCACAAAGTGATGATACTGTGGATAAAAAACTAAATCGATTATACAAACCCCAATTCCAATGAAGTTGGGCTTTCAGGGACACTGCAACTGCCCAGTCATCATTTCCTGTGTTCACAGTAAGCCACTCCAGTCATTTTAGCCCACAGCTGGCTGCAACGATTGTATAACTAGCCTGCTGGCTACTTATACAATAAAGGTGCATTACGCTGTGCCGAAGACTAAATACGGATGAATGACTCGGTATTGTTGCCCTTCTGATGACAAGCTGGATATAAATATTTAACATGCTCCCCACTTTGAGGATAAGCTGAAGCTCTCTCTTTAACCTTTGACTTAGTCAGTCAGTAAACCGTTCTCCAGGGGTTCCAGGATCCCTGAACCACTGCAGAGGCGATAACCCTGTCATTTTGGCTTATGAGTGTTAAGGATTAGTTCAGTACTTTATTGTACATATAGACCCGCAGCAGCACTGCCAGCCAAAGCAGCATTGTTTCTCTGCACCTCACACAGCCATGCCTTATAGACAATCTCTTAATATGTGTGGGCTAAATTATGAGAGAGGTAGCAATTTGGCCAAATTATACAATTCACTGTGCACATAGAAGTAGGCAATTACAACACTAATCATCAAGATGATTACTGTTTTCACAGAAACGCTTCTCTTTGCAAATGTAAATATGTCACAGCAAAATGGAAAAAATGAGCTATAAATAAAAATCCTTAGTAAATTTTTCACCAGATTACAGATAGATACAACAGCTAAAAAGTGCAGAGTGTTGCAGTGTTTACAGGGCTATGAAACAACATATAGCTGGCATGCCTGCTTGTGGTACTTGCACAATTGCTCCCTTATGTGTCAGCCTGACGTCCTGGTAGCAGCACAAACCTTAACATAAACACATCATGAAATACACAATGGGATGGAGGGGAATGTCCATCACAAACATCATTGACATCTGGTGCTTTGTTCTCCTGGATGGGATGTTGTTATCTGCTTCAGCATCAAGTGTTGATCCTTTTGCGCAATAGCTTACAATTTTTTTTTAAACTATCAAATATTGAATTGCAATTTGTGCTGCTATGCATCCTAATGTTAGCCTGCATATTGTATCCAGCATTGCTCTCACACAGTGGGAAAATACTACAGAGACATATATTATACTGTTTCTGTCAAACTCAGTGATTTCTGACTTTGATTGATATTGGCCCCGCCCACTTCTGTCTAGATTAAAAGGCTGCCAACTTTTATGGCACGTAATTACATTCTTCAAAGGAGTTCGCATATAAGTTTTACTTTTCAACTTTTTATAATGGATTTTATGATGGGATTAACAGAAAGTTTCAAACATAATTTATGGATTTCTAACAACATTAAAGGATTTTATTAGGGTTTCCTGTGGGAATGATGTGGTTAATGCCACTATGTACCTGACAGTAGCAGGTCATTTTACACTGCCATAGTGTTTATGGAAACATTGTAGGGATTCTTATGAGTAAGTCAAGCAAGGGTAAAGTGGAAGCACCCGGAGAAGAAGACACTTTATGACACTAGTCATGTGCTGGAGAGAGAGTATATCTTGATGCACTGAAGTAATGCATGGAACATACAGTGCCTTGCGAAAGTATTCGGCCCCCTTGAACTTTGCGACCTTTTGCCACATTTCAGGCTTCAAACATAAAGATATAAAACTGTAATTTTTTGTGAAGAATCAACAACAAGTGGGACACAATCATGAAGTGGAACGAAATTTATTGGATATTTCAAACTTTTTTAACAAATAAAAAACTGAAAAATTGGGCGTGCAAAATTATTCAGCCCCCTTAAGTTAATACTTTGTAGCGGCCAACACAAACTAGACTTTTTCAGTAATTTGTTGCTTTGCTTTCCTTCATCAAAAGGACCTAAACAATTGTTAACCTCAGCTCGAAAATGATTTTCAGAACTCAAAGATCTCCGGTACAGCCTAACACTAAACAATTCCTCATGATCTGCCTCTGCAGGGGTACTAATGCCATCGGAGCCACACTGTATAAAACAAATACATGAAACGATCGATTTAATTCATGTAGACTGATGAATGCACTTTTGACTGTTTTGGCATTTTGTGATGTGACTTTGTGGTGTTGGGTGCCTTTAATCCTTGTGTATTTCATCTCACTCCAACAGTGTGTGAATACATTTTATATACTTCTGTTTGCAGGAGTGTGTGTGTGTGACAGACAAATAACATATGTACAATAGGTCAGAACAAAACTATCTGCCCAGTTAATGTAATTGTAATATGATCGTTAAATTGGCTCATGGATAGATGTTAAAACGAACCACCCTGTTGTTTATCTGTATTCAATGGCCCGTGAGTCAAAATTCACACCTAAAGTCATTCAAATGAATCATCATTAGCGTGGAAGGAAAATACTTAAACAAGTCTCACTCATCCACTAACATGAATTAGCGAATTGCGTGTTACACACTCTTGTGTGTTACAGCCTGCTCAGTGTTTTATAACTAAGGTGTCACTTTATTTTTAAGCTCATTTAATAAGACAAGTTGAACCAGAACAGACTCATTTGGAGCAGCATAGAAACACATACAGTACACACATGGATCACTGTGTAGAGCTATGGGCAGCTTCTGCACAACTTCTATAATTAATTAAAGTCCCACTCCAGAAACATTTTCATTTTTATATTTGTATATAAAAATACTTTACTATAAACAATATGCAGTCTAACACAGCTTTTCCTCAAAAAAATTTCAGTGGGCCTCTGTAATAGGAATGAACATTGCCCCTCATTGTGCATTCCAGGATCTATGAATGTTGCCGTCATCCCTTATGTGGATTTGAATAATTTTGCACGCCCAATTTTTCAGTTTTTTATTTGTTAAAAAAGTTTGACATATCCAATAAATTTCGTTCCACTTCATGATTGTGTCCCACTTGTTGTTGATTCTTCACAACAAATTACAGTTTTATATCTTTATGTTTGAAGCCTGAAATGTGGCAAAAGGTCGCAAAGTTCAAGGGGGCCGAATACTTTCGCAAGGCACTGTATGTAACAGAGTATTTCTACTTTTATTCAAGTAAATATTCAGTGTTGCCTTCCTTTTTTACATTCTTACAATTAAAGAGCATAGGGGTTTGCATATGTTTATAGATGGGCCTGGTTCTATATTATCCCATCTTTATTCAACAAATAAATAATATACATGCATTTATTTTGTAAACAGTGATATGTTTTAGGAGGGTTTTCCATCTCTTAATGGCACCTATTTTGACATGATCCACGTCTCTTCGTTAGGTCTGCATCTCACTGCTGGTGCATTGTCTCTTTTTGTAACCATGTGTTAGGTATTAATTTTTGTGTCTTTATTGTGTTTTCTTTCTCCACAGTTCACTTACTAGGTGTATTCATGCTTGTTCAGATGGATTTCATGCAATGAGGGACTCGTAAGTTAGTTGTAGCTATGACCTGCAGTAACATTTTACAGTGCCATGGTGTTGACAGCAACACTGTACAGATTTCACCACTATGCGTGCCTATAAGATGAATGAGTGAAGAAGAGATTCTTCTTAACTTCTAACTTGTTTATGGGTGGACTTGTTTCTATATTATCCCATCCTGTTAACACTGACATTTATGTTTATGGAAACAGTGTAAAGAGCGATATGTTTTTCGTTACAGAGAAGCATTTGAGTAAATGTTATTTTATCAGACTGGGCTGGAGGGTGTAACTGATTCAACTGTCTGTTGGTCTTTATTCTGTATCCACAGCTTTATTCTAGTCTAACATGTTGTGTTTATTTTACATTTTACACCTCTTAATGGTTGTTTAACACCTACGCCATCCCTGGTAGGCTAGTGGTGGTTGTTTAACACCTATTTTGACATGATTTGTGTCTTTGTTAAGTGAACAGCTCTTTTGTTTTGTCTCTTTTCTATCCTATGGTGTATTTTGCATCAGTCTGTTTTAGGGGTTTTTCCTCTCATTGTAGATATTTTAATCTATTTTCATCATTATTGCGGCTTTATGCTGTGTAGCACACACCTGCTCGCTAGGTGGCGTAATGTACTTATGCACTGCGTTGCCAAATGCTAATTGTAGCAAGAAGAAGGGACACTGCTTATACTTCCTGTTGTACTAATGATACTGTTAGCTCGAACCGCTTTTCCGCTATATACTGGCTGTATATGTGTGTGTGTGTGTGTGGAGTTTCACTGGGTTTGGGTGCAGGCTGTTTGGTTAACAGCTACACTACTCTATAGGTTGCAGGTGTTATCTAGGTTGAGACCAATCCTTATCGTTGCAGACTTTATTCACAGTTTAACATGTTTCTGTACTTGACACATGATCACTGATCTCTTATTAGGCATTTATGTTAAGAAGCCATAAATCAAACAATCAAAGTTATAAATGACTGAGTTTGATAGAAGGGGTATTTTTCAGAATCAGTATCAGCTTTATTGGCCAGGTCTGTCGGACACAAGAGGAGTTTGACTCTGGTACATCGGCTCTCAATGTGCATGTACATATCCCCATGCAAGGGGCAAGTAAACAGTAAACCAGCATAAGGCTGTGTAATATAACAAAATAAGCACTGTTAACAAGCAACAAACAGTGCAAACAATGCAAAATAAGCAGTATAGACAGGCAGTAAACAATGCAGATAACAAAGGAATGCTCATTGTGAAATGGGATGAGTAGGAATAAAAATATACTTAAAAGTACTTATAAATAGAGACCTCTATATACACACAGTCTAGATGCATTTTACAGATATATATGTACAATTTATATTTACAGGTATTGCACTGAGGGTTATTGTCCAGTCATACTGTCGTTGGTTAAGTGTTCATCAGAGTGACAGCCCGGGGGAAGAAACTGTCCCTGTGCCTGGTTGTCTTGGTGCACTTGGGGGCGGCTGTGGCTCAGGAGGTAGAGCGGGTTGTTTCCTAACTGAAGGATTAGCGGTTTGGTTCCTGGCTTGTCCAGTTGAAGTGTCCTTGAGCAAGACACTGAACTCCCGGTAATGTCACCGGTGTGCGAATGGGTGAATGGCTGAATAATGTGAAAGTGCTTTGAGTGTGCTGTAAAAGCGTAGAAAGGCGCTATACGAGTATAAGACCATTTACCACAATGACCTCTAACACCATCCACAGGGGAGGAGTTCAAACAGATTGTGTCCAGGATATGAGGGGTCTGCAGTGATCCTCTCTGCCCTTTTTTTGACCTGTGAGGTGTACAGGTCGTCCATGGAGGGCAGGCTGGCACCAAAAAAGCTACTATAAGCTTGGACTTGTTAACATTTCCATTAAAGCAAACTAACACACACTGTTTACAGTGTGGCTGCAAATATCTGCCTGGTGTTCAGCATCTACTGTGTACCCCATCACTCCCCTCTCTGCTCTGCTTGACAGGGGCTGATGGGGTGCACAATCAAAACACTTCTGATCCAGCCATGACAAGCTAGCTGCCAAACAGCTCTCTCCATCATGGGAGTTGGGAGTTGATTTGTTGAGTCCACCTTATGAGTGAGGCCTTCAAACTGATTTTAACATACTAATTTTACTTAGTAATTTTAATAGCTCTACTACACAAGTACCCGTGTACTGTACATTCAGGTTACTTCTGGAACTGTACATGCTCTATGAATGTCTCATAAGATGAAGAAATCTAACCGTTTGTGTGGCTGAAGGCTCACACCGGTGTGCCTATCACCAAGTGGTGCCTTCCCCACTGGGTAATGCAAGTGATTGCAGTAGCTCCCTGCAGGGCGTTTACAGTACACTATGCCCCCACAGAACGACAGTAAAGGCTTCAAAGAAATACACATTATGGTCAAAAAACAGCAATATCTAAGTAGATCATCCCGCTTGGAAACCAGGAAGAGACACTTTTTTAGCTGGCATGATGATTCAGGCTGCTGAGAACTATAGGAAGGAGTGTGCTCCTTCATGTAGATGTAGGAACAAGGCTTATGATTGTTTCAATAAACAGTCTGTTGGAACTCACCATTGGTGGATTGTAGTTCCAAGCATATTAGGTGTGGCTGGTCTGGCAATGTACATACTGTTGAAAAGAGCAAGGCACAACATTCACTCATGCAAATGGGTCTATTTTGAAAAATGAGATCCAGAACAACACAAATTGTGTCCTAAAATCCTTGATCTGGATCGGAAACAGATAATCTTTTATGGTATGATAGGCAGTTATACTTGCCTACATAGTTCAGGGTTCTATCTTCTTTATGGCAGAAAATATGCATTAAAATGGATCTTCAATGGTAACTTTAAATGGCCATTAGGGCCAGAATCTGGATCAAATTGATCTGATGATAGACATTGCCACCCTACATACTGTATGTGTCTCAAATTTTAAACCAAAAAATGATTTTGATAACTTTTGGTGGATATATTTAAAAAAAAATTGTAAAATTTTGCCCCAC